TTGTATGGTTTGGCCACTTCGACTTCTGACCATTCCCTTGTAAGGATGTGATTCAATTTATAAACAGACTTAGTAGATTTCTCCATGACTGCTATGAGCTCTCCAGCTTTTTCGTACCTGAGAAATACCTGCACTAACAGACCGGATTTTCAATCGACCTTTTTCCCCAATGCGCATGCTCGAAACGAAGTGCTGAGAGCCCAAAAACATAGATATGCCTTGGAGATAACATTGTCTTTGCACTAAAGTTTGCAGCTCTCAGAAAGATTTACTGCTTGAAGTTGTAGCAGCTTGAAAAAAAATTTTGCAAGTGTCTGGGAACTTTTTTTCACAACCTAATAATTTTTGAGAATAGCAAATTTAGCTGAAAAAACCCTGATAATGACGAGTTTTTCAGAGATTTGGCACAAGAATACGATTTTTCCTCGACTCTTTGAACATTTAGATTCCCTTAAATTGCAGCTTCGCACTTTATGTAGAACAGAATCTAAGTTGTTTGAGTGCCGCCCACACCCTCGATACATAGAGCCACGTACTCTAATAGCCTTCACTTTGAGGGCTATAAGACACTAGTTGGCAAACCCGGCTCCGCCCGGGTCTGTGAATAATATATTTGTAATCAGCATGCTCGATTACCCCCCTGTGCCAACTCCCAGCCCTGTAGCTCAAATTTTGCAAAAAATCGATAAAATCGATATCGATCGATAGCGAAAAGTAGCCTATGACACGCTCCCTGCCCCGAAGTATATGTGTGCCAAGTTTGGTCCAAATCGGTTCAGAAATAAAAATTTCTATTCCGCACATACGTACAGACAGACAGACATACATACATACATACATACAGACAGACAGACATTCAGCTTTATATATAAGATAACCTTTACCTGGAAAAAAAAACAGAAGCCCCGGATGTTATTATCCTGACTATATCGGAACGAATGTTTATGAAGCAAATATAGGAAATAATTCTTTAGGTTATCTCCGCGAAACCAGAATTTGCGTCTTTATAGCCTTTTCACGTTAAAGGCAGTAGACAGGCAAAATGGACCCCTGTCAGATTTTGGTAGTTTCGGGTAGTGGACCCCCCAATTACACCGTAGCCCCAACCCCAACTTCCAGTTGATGCGCTAAGTCCTGAAAAAAGCGCTTCAAACTTCCACCAATAACGCCCACTCAATGGAAGTGGGCGGGGCTGGTGGAGTTTTAAAGCGCTTTTTTCAGAACTTAGCGCATGAATTGGAATGTGGGGTTGGGGCCATAGATGCGATAGGTGGAGAAATTTCTCTGACCCCCTTCACTTTAGGGCCGGCATCTGGCTGACCCCCTTCACCTGAGGTTGAGGCTAATCAAGGCAAAGAGTTACTACAACGAAACTTTTTAATTGGAAAGGAAACGCCAGCTGCTCTTCTCCTCAGACATCAAGACTGCAAGAGAGTATCGAATCAACAACGTTTCGTTAAAAAAACGCATGCTTGAGACCTTCTGCGGGCTCAAAAAGCGTTGATAACGAAACGTAATCAAAAAGTAAAAGATTGCTGATTTTTTGAATAATTAATATTGTATCAATGAATACATACTATTGCAAAAAAGAGTTGAGCAAGAGTAGAAAAACTGACCGACTAGCGATGGATGCAAGAAATCGTACCATATCTCCTTTCACTAAAGAGAATAATAACAAACAAAACAGCAGTTAGATTACACGTTTTTCAAGCTTTCGATTCATATATAAAAGTTCGAAAAAGACCTTCTTGATTTGAAAATATAATTATCCAAAATTGGCTGATATCGTAGCTAGTTAAAACTGGTCGTATCTCGCTTCACAAAGAAGCTATGAAAAAAGAGACGGTCTACGTCGATTCCTCGTGTGCTTAGCTATCGAATGGTATATAAGGTGTTTGTGCACGAAGCTTTCTTCGCCCAAAAAAGTCTTGCTCCGGCAACCCATAGAAAGCCGGAGCGGGGTGGAGCAAGTTACTATTGAATATCTCCACCTCATTTTTGAGAAACCACAAGTTTTTTCACCCGACAACCTATATACCATTAGAAAGCTCACAAAAAAAGGATTCGACGTAGACCGTCTCTTTTTCTCTAGCTCCCCTCTACTTAGAGTTACATGGGATTTTAGCCAAAAACATGTGTGTTTTTGTCGAGAAATTTCTGCGTGAAGAATGGATAAAGGTGCCTGATTTTCTAACAGCGTCACAGAGCAAGGCCTTGCCAGTAAACGTAGACCGTCTCTTTTTTTTATCTTTGTTCTTTCTTTCAAAAATAAATTACAAAATAATTACACAAAAATAGGTGGTGAGTAGACGTATAAAACTGGTCGTATCTCGCTTCACAAAGAAGCTATGAAAAAAGAGACGGTCTACGTCGATTCCTCGTGTGCTTAGCTATCGAATGGTATATAAGGTGTTTGTGCACGAAGCTTTCTTCGCCCAAAAAAGTCTTGCTCCGGCAACCCATAGAAAGCCGGAGCGGGGTGGAGCAAGTTACTATTGAATATCTCCACCTCATTTTTGAGAAACCACAAGTTTTTTCACCCGACAACCTATATACCATTAGAAAGCTCACAAAAAAAGGATTCGACGTAGACCGTCTCTTTTTCTCTAGCTCCCCTCTACTTAGAGTTACATGGGATTTTAGCCAAAAACATGTGTGTTTTTGTCGAGAAATTTCTGCGTGAAGAATGGATAAAGGTGCCTGATTTTCTAACAGCGTCACAGAGCAAGGCCTTGCCAGTAAACGTAGACCGTCTCTTTTTTTTTATCTTTGTTCTTTCTTTCAAAAATAAATTACAAAATAATTACACAAAAATAGGTGGTGAGTAGACGTATAAAACTGGTCGTATCTCGCTTCACAAAGAAGCTATGAAAAAAGAGACGGTCTACGTCGATTCCTCGTGTGCTTAGCTATCGAATGGTATATAAGGTGTTTGTGCACGAAGCTTTCTTCGCCCAAAAAAGTCTTGCTCCGGCAACCCATAGAAAGCCGGAGCGGGGTGGAGCAAGTTACTATTGAATATCTCCACCTCATTTTTGAGAAACCACAAGTTTTTTCACCCGACAACCTATATACCATTAGAAAGCTCACAAAAAAAGGATTCGACGTAGACCGTCTCTTTTTCTCTAGCTCCCCTCTACTTAGAGTTACATGGGATTTTAGCCAAAAACATGTGTGTTTTTGTCGAGAAATTTCTGCGTGAAGAATGGATAAAGGTGCCTGATTTTCTAACAGCGTCACAGAGCAAGGCCTTGCCAGTAAACGTAGACCGTCTCTTTTTTTTTATCTTTGTTCTTTCTTTCAAAAATAAATTACAAAATAATTACACAAAAATAGGTGGTGAGTAGACGTATAAAACTGGTCGTATCTCGCTTCACAAAGAAGCTATGAAAAAAGAGACGGTCTACGTCGATTCCTCGTGTGCTTAGCTATCGAATGGTATATAAGGTGTTTGTGCACGAAGCTTTCTTCGCCCAAAAAAGTCTTGCTCCGGCAACCCATAGAAAGCCGGAGCGGGGTGGAGCAAGTTACTATTGAATATCTCCACCTCATTTTTGAGAAACCACAAGTTTTTTCACCCGACAACCTATATACCATTAGAAAGCTCACAAAAAAAGGATTCGACGTAGACCGTCTCTTTTTCTCTAGCTCCCCTCTACTTAGAGTTACATGGGATTTTAGCCAAAAACATGTGTGTTTTTGTCGAGAAATTTCTGCGTGAAGAATGGATAAAGGTGCCTGATTTTCTAACAGCGTCACAGAGCAAGGCCTTGCCAGTAAACGTAGACCGTCTCTTTTTTTTTATCTTTGTTCTTTCTTTCAAAAATAAATTACAAAATAATTACACAAAAATAGGTGGTGAGTAGACGTATAACTGGTCGTATCTCGCTTCACAAAGAAGCTATGAAAAAAGAGACGGTCTACGTCGATTCCTCGTGTGCTTAGCTATCGAATGGTATATAAGGTGTTTGTGCACGAAGCTTTCTTCGCCCAAAAAAGTCTTGCTCCGGCAACCCATAGAAAGCCGGAGCGGGGTGGAGCAAGTTACTATTGAATATCTCCACCTCATTTTTGAGAAACCACAAGTTTTTTCACCCGACAACCTATATACCATTAGAAAGCTCACAAAAAAAGGATTCGACGTAGACCGTCTCTTTTTCTCTAGCTCCCCTCTACTTAGAGTTACATGGGATTTTGGCTGAAAACATGCGACTTTCTTTATTGAGTATGTAGTAAACTAAAATCGTCATGTATAGTCTTTTCCATTGATTCGCTGTCTCGGAGGCCATTCTTGCAGGTTGCAGGAAAGACATCAGTTGGTGTTCTGTCAATTCATCACAAGTCGCTGGGAGTCAATGACGTGGTCGCATTTGTTTTGTTTAATCTCTGTCAATTCATCACAAGTCGCTTGGAGTCAATGACGTGGTCGCATTTGTTTTGTTTAATCTTCTCCTCCGTTCTGTTTTTTTTAACAAAGAGGTGGAACTAACAGAGGCAGTTTATGTAAGCACTGTCTCGATCACTTCCATTGCATGCGCTTGCCATCATTTTCTCTGACGAAAGAGCGCAATCTCATGATACACGTCTGATTCTTTTTTCATTAAAAAACTCGTAATGATTTGCTATAGTACGAATTTTTTAGGTCTTTGCGCCATAGATGTGTCATGCATAATATCGCATCTGTTTTCATCGCGATTTTTGTTTGTTGTGCGGGTAACGACCGAGGACATGGAGAGGAACAAACGAGTCTGAAGTTTTCAGTCGGAAGGCGTCTTTGTAAGCCCCGTTTTTCTGAGATATCCACGTTTTATCTAGGCACGGACGCCCAAGAAAATGAAAAAAGATTTGACGAATTTTTAGAAATTGGATTCCCAGCAAAGGAGTGTCAAAATGTCAAAAAGCTCGTCCTAATGCCGTATACGATAATGGTTTTTGATACGAGACCAAGATTCAGTACGGCTACAGCGCCTTTGTTCTATAGCAGCTTACATAATCACAAGATGGTAGATAATCGGCGGTTTTTTGTCATAGGAAAACAAAGCACTCGCAGTGAACGTTCTAACAAGGTCTTCGACATTGTTTTCACACATGATCTCGGAGACGCTTCAATAAACAGCATCAGCAAGAATGTTCTGGTTCAGGGTCCACCAGTTCATATGCAAGCAGATGACTCCTTAAACTACCCAGTTATTTTCATACTTATGGAAAGGCCGACATCCAGGGTAGACAAAGCGCGACTGAGAGAACTTGTGAGGGATGTTTCTTACGCCAAACCTCATTCTGGACGACGTGTAGCGGTGGAAGAGGCGCAAAAAGTCCTCATGCAAAAGGAACGATGGAACGTGATGTTTGACAATGCAATAGATGCTGTAGTGATAAATAGAAATACTCGCACTACCAAACGCAATACGTTCACTGAGCAAATGTTTGAAGTATTTGCGGCGCACGGCATTAAACCTAGCATGATTTCACTAGATGCAGACGGAAACACTCGTGATCTGCCCAAGGGAACATCGATTTCTCTTTGTGTCCCTGAAGAGGAAGATGAGTCCTATACTAGAACACACACGTCCGTGTATTGGAAGTTCTCCAGCCATACCCCTCGGGAAGAAAACGACTGTACATATCCGGCATTTCTGAGAGTGTTTGACGAAAAAGTAGGATACTCTTCTGTTTCTGAGCAATTTCAATATCCAGACGACGCCGAAAGGCGAACTGTAGCACCTGTGGTGAATGAAGAAGGAGATGAAGATGTTGTTGCTGATGTTCCCGTTAGTGGACCAGAAGTGCCGGTGCCTCAAACACCACCTCTTCAGACAGAACCTACTCAAGCTCATGCTGGAGCTGGAGATGTCGCAGTGGTGCCTCACTATCAGTGTTCCGCATTTTCTTACGAGGAGAAAACCAACTTAATGACGTGGGTAGGATACCTCTATCGACAAGCCCTCAGCAACGAAAACGTTCTACACAAAGAAGCTAGAGAACGCGCCCGAGAGGCGATGTTAGCTTACGAGTCAGGCAAAAGATGCAATTTTTTTTGTCGCGATCACCATATGCTCGTGAACTCGGGGCACTTCGTCACCGACAAAGAAAAGAAAATCTTACAAAATTTGAAGGATGAAAAATATCAATATTTTAAGCCACTTTTTCCTAATGAGTGGGTTGGAGGAAAGCGCGTACTGAAGGTGCGCTGTGAACCCTGCTACGAGTACTATCGATCAGGACAAGTCAAAGGCTCCCCATATCCAATTTCATCAAAGGAGGGAACGGAATTCACATCCAGCGTTGAAAAGACATTGCAAAACCATATCCGATCCGATCACGCCATACACCAAGCAGCAGTAGAGTACTATGTACGGAAAACCAACGATAAGGTGAACAGCTACCTTGATGATGTGGATAGCGCTCACACAGGTTCTGGAACAGGAGCAAGCAGTCTTTTTATGCTTGCTTATGCGGCAGCAAAAATTTACCTTCCTCCATATCAATTTCCCACATTGTGTGAAACAGTATCGAAATTGGGATTGCAGATAGGAAATAAGCACCACACGCGCGATGGATTCGTGCAGATGACTAGTTACATTAGCAAAAAGATGAAAGACACCTTGATCGACTACCTCATAAAAAATCAATCCCCATTTTCACTGCTAGTCGATACCTCAACGGATCCTGATAGCAAGCAGATACTTCTACTTTTTGTTCGTTTCCCAGATCGAACAACGTTACATCCTACAACGCACTTCCTCGAAGCTGTGGAGATGGTCAAAGCTGAAACTGGAAAGTACATTTTTGAAACAATCTATGCATACTTCAGTAAGGCAGGGCTTCTCAATGAATTTATTTGGAATCTGGTAGCTGTGGCTACAGACGGAGCTAGTGCCATGAGTGCCGAGGGCGGGCTTCGCGGCATACTCAACAAAAACATTTCGCAATCTCGTAAAGATATATTGGCAAGTAGAGGTGCTACGCAGGAGAAGATAGATTCTGTTTTGCCTAATCCAATCATATGGATTCATTGCATGGCACACAAAATAGAGTTAGCTCTGGCAGATGCTCTAGCTGAAGCAGACGAGGAATTTCTGCGATGGAGAAAATTTGCAACGGCATACCTCAACAGATTGCGCTCCTTCTTTGCAGCTCCATCAAGGAAACGCGTGCTGCTAGAAGTGGATAAAACCCTATCTAATGAGCGCTTCGTGAATTTGAAAAGAATTATCGCTGTGAGATGGACTTCATCTGAAGAAAGTAAGTTTTGAGTCCTGCTTGTTTTTGCACAAAAGCGCTGTTATTTCAGATGCTATTCACAGCTTTTTGAAAATGTACAAGCATGTATGGCTTGCATTGGAGACGATATCCAAGACTGCGCAAATTCCGAGTAAGGAGCGATTAAAAGCCGGAGCATTTCTGCACGTGATCAAATCGCTAAAGTTCTACCGATACATGGTGTTCCAGCTGCAAGTCCTTGGAGAGATTGGCACACTCTCACGAGAAGCTCAGGTATCGCACTTGTTAGATATAATGCTTCTGTGATTTGTCTCTCAGGACGAAGCATCCACTCTTTGGAAAGCGCAAACTGACCTAAACACCCTTCTCGCACGACTTGATAAAGCCGCCGAATCTCCACACCTCAACACAAAAACGCGTCCATTTCTAGAATCCATCCTCTGTAAACCTGTCAATGAAGCAGGTAACTTCCGTCAAAACGCTCTGGATTCGCCTGATTGTAGAAAATGGTTCGTTTCATCACCATTAAAGTACTCTGCCAACAAGAGCAGTTGTTATATAGAATACTCTCAGGTTCTGGAATGGCTGGCAAAACGAAGAATCAGCAGCTTGTCAAATACTTTACAAAATCGCAGATGACTTGCACGTGTTCGAGTTCAACATCGAGAGTGCGGGAGGATCAAGTGCTGGAGACAAAAGTGCCAACGACATCAACAAACAGTTAACATTGGAGCGAAACAATCTTATCCGATACATCAAAGACCCAAGCAGTCTGCAGAACTTTAATGAGGAGACATCTAGAAAATCTATTGCGGAGCTTCAGGTAGCAGAAGATTTTGGAATTGCAAAATTCACGAACATGGACCTGAACAAGAGAAAAGTGCTTGTAAAAAGCATAGCTACTGCTCTCAGATCTCGGCTAGAGTACGAGCCCCATTCTGTACTTTACGCTGCTGGAGGTTTTTCGCCCTCTAGCATTATAAACTATAATGCGGCAGAAAAGGGTACCCGCAGCACATTGTCTACATTTTTTGGTTATTCCCCCAATTCTATAGAAGAAGAACTTCAGCAGCTATCTATGCAGCTCAGGAGACGCATGCCAGAAGCAGTGAGAGCTGAGTTCAAAAAGAGTGAAGCAAAAATGCAATATTTTCTTCCTGTGCTGCGGAAGCACATGAGATATGGCTCATTTTCTATCACTTATCGCAGAAATTTGATGGAGCTGTTAGCAAAATTGGTTTCGATTCCAACCAGCACAGCGGAAGTGGAAAGAGGTTTCTCCATTTATTCAGTAATCCGATCACAGCGCAGAAGCCGCACGACGGTGGACCACCTCAGCAACTATCTGAGGTTAGTAAACTTGAGGTAAAGGTACATCTGGTTAAGATTTTTCATTGCAGAATTGCTATCAGCGGCCCGGATAAATTGTCGCCATACGATTTTTTGCAGTACCCCAAAAAATGGCATGAAGACACTGGTCATCAACCAGCCGATTTTCCTGGTGCCACCAGAGGACCAGGGAAAAAATCGTTGAAGAGAATTGAAGAAGAAGAAAATTTTAAATCAATTTTTGATCCAGATAAATTCCTAACGCAATTTTATTTTTATTCTGATAATGTTCTCGCGGAAGAAGATTTTTCAGAGAACGAACATCTTTCTGACAGCGATGGTAGTGACAGTATTATTAACGACGATGACGATATTGAAAACTTGTAGAGCGATTGCACATTCTTTTTAGTTTGGCTCCGTTACTTTTTAATTTGTAATGTAGACTTCTTTATTCTGCTCGTCTCTTCAACATGCACTTGGATTCATATTTTGTTCAGAATGGAAAATAAACAAGTGGTAAAAATAAACTCCTAGCAGCGCAGCAGTGAATTTCAATCTCCCGCCCGCCTCACCCCATTGCCACGCACCGGCATTTTGGCAAAGTCAGCAACTCTTCTGCTCTCACATACCCCCTTCACTTTTGACAGTCAAAAATACGAGGTACCCCCTTCACCTGGGAGAGACCGTGCTCCCCCTATCGCACCTATGGTTGGGGCTATGGTGTACTTGGGGGGTCCACTACCCGAAACTACCAAAATCTGACAGGGGTCCATTTTGCCTGTCCGCTGCCTTTAAAAAGAAGGTTTTTATGAAATTTTCGCCAGATTCAGAATATTAGTTTTCACTTGACCTCTTATTTGACCAAAATCGAGTTTCAGAAGTTTAGGAAAGCTGTTGTGGTTAAATAAAAACGAGGAACTGCTCTTAAATCTTGCGCAGAAAATCGCGCACGAAAACATTAGTCTATTCTCGTTAATGAGTGATTTTCAAGGCTTGAGACGTTGTCAGTTCTATGTCCGATTGTCGCTTTTCAGGCTCTGAAGAAGGCGACGCCGCCGAAACGTTAGCCCAAAGTAAAGGTTATTACCAATATTAGCTCAAGGCTCAAAAACAACCTCAAAGGTCAGTTCTCGTTGTCGTGTCATGACGATCAGAACGATTTATAATGTTGCAAGGTTTCGTTGAAATCCCGCGGAGATTTACCAGAGCCAAATGCCCCGTGTCTGGTCTGTCTCCGCTGCTCGTCTGCGTCTCCGCGCGCTGCGCGCTACCTCGCTACCTTAAACGCGGGGCGCGAGGCATTTGGCTCTGGTAAACTTTTCTTCGCTGCGAAAACCCAATTTTAGCAAGCTATATATCATTTTGAAGCTCTTAATCTCTACTTTCACGCTGAGATTGTCCGAAACCACATTTTTTGATTTGATCGAGAAATCAGGCAAAAACCTTGTTTTCGAAATTGTTTTGTTTATCTCCTAGTTTAGCTCTTTTCACGCGGTTTTCGAGCATTCTATCTTGCTTCTGTTTATAAAGCAGAAAACCACCCAGCCCTTTTTCTTCGATTATGGTGGAATTTTTTGCAAAAAATCGTAAAAAGTGCGTTCTCTTTATTGCATTGTTTCAATGCTTCCGCAGCGGTTTTCTTCCAGCTTGGGCAATTTTGCTCAGAACAATAAGCGCACCAATCCAGATAACGTCCCCGGAAGCGGGAACGTCAATGCGGGGTAAAAATTCAAAGGACGCATCAAAAATCAAATTTGCCTTCGACGTTCTTTTCGACTTAGTAAAAAAAACCTTTGTGTTTTCATAACTAATTCATTTCCTGTTTATCTTCTTCTTGATACCACTCCTCACAAAACATATTTTTTCAAACAATCACAAAAAAGAAATTAGCTCTTCTTCGCTTTTCCCGTATTGCGGGTTGCTGGTCCTAGAGCGAAAAATTGCACTCTGAAAAGCCGCCATATGAAAGATTTTTTACCTCATTGCAGCGTTTTTATCCGGTTTTCAGCAGTTTCTTTTGCTTTTTATATCTGTTTTACGTCATTTACGTCATTTTCTCTTCTCTGATCTTCTTTGAACAACCTTCACTTTTTAAGAGGTCAGATGAAAAAACCCTCATTTTTGTCGCCCTGTCTCTAAACCGTATGGTGCCCTTTATAGAGCTTGCTCTGCTCTGTCAAATGGTACTGCAAAAAATGGTCCTTGTTCTTTTAAAAGACGTTTGAAAAAATTCTGCTTTGCCTCATAGAGTAACCAAAGCCTTACTAAAGAACAAAAAAATTCTGTTTGTGTCAGAACCATTATGTCAAACTAATATAAAATATGTGCATAAATCTGCATGCAAAACTTTTTGAGTTGATGAAACATTGATAGAATTTGGCTTGTACGAAAGAACTCAAATGTAGCCTTGCTAGTACCTCGCGTAGACTGAGTGTATGCGGCCGCCACAGCAGGAATAGGCTCGCCGCACACATTGAACTCTATCGCTAGGTACGTAACAGTAACAGTTTACATTGGTTGCAGGTCAGTTTTCCTAACCTTGAGGGCGGCGTCAGGATGAATGTGGTCTCATGAGATTTCAATGGTCTGTGAAAGTAGATGCCTTTGATCATTCCATTGCGCAAGTGCAGAACCAAAAGTGAGATTAGAAGAGAGAAGGTTGCTGGCAAGTTGGAGTAAAAAATAACCCCTTAAAGGCAGAGACTCCCCACTTCCAGTTCTCTTTTGGTCAGACCGCAAGGCGTACGCGGTCTGCATAATCCAATTTTCAGTAAGTGCGTACGCCGCATACATCGCGCAATCTCATACACAAGTCCCATAAAATGTGTTGGTCTTCTGAAAAGCCCAGGTACCATCCTATAGAGCTGGTTTCAGCTTACATTTACGGCATAGAGTGGATTGCCGACTGCTCTTTATTACTGTAGGATTGCCGTAGGAACTTTAAAGGGGGTTTTGAGCCATAAAAGGCCATATATTGCCTCAGTAGTGAAACAAAACAATCTGATAACTTTCACTGGGCTAGTTAAAGTCGCTGATTCCGAATGTGAAGTTCGCAACTTATCTTGATGCTTCATCAAAAAGTTATGTCGGTAAACAGGAGCGGCTCTTTTCAATGTTCCCAAAATGCGGTTACACCGTTAGAAAGTTCGCTATTTTGTGCTTATTCAAGTATTGTCAGTGTCCATAAATTTTTGAGTCCAAAAGAATTTTTACAGGTAGCGGAGAGATTAACTTGTGCAAAAAAGCTAATCTGCCTCAAACCACCTTTGAAACGAAAGCAAACTGCCATTTTGTTAATTTATTGATTTTTAGAAAACGCAGTGAAAATAAGACCCTATCGCGATCACCCTACTTCCTCAGTCTTGTATAGATGATAGCAGTAAAACTCATTTCATATAGCTCTGAGGAATATGCGATGACTCAACGCGTCATGTAGCAAGTAAGCTTATCGCGAGTCTAGCAGCGCACTAAAGAAACAGTTGAGACCGGCCCTAATAAGGCTAGAAATGCCGGCTAGTATCTGATAAATATCTCGAAAAAGTCAAAAGGTGTTTTGAATTTATAGAATGGTGGGAATCAATGACACGCACAGCAAGTCACGACATCTTACCTACTTAGATTACTTAGATGGCCCGGCTTCACGTGACGTACGGGACCCAGCACAAAAGCTTCCATCCTTTTTGTCCCTCGCTTCAGACATCCACATCCATCTTCTTGGTTGACGCGATTATTCATAGTGTCCATCTGTCTGTTCCTCTCATGATGTGACCGGCCCATCGGTGCTTCGTTTTCTCAGCGTACTCTGCTGGATCACAAAGACGCGACATTCCGTTCCTATCTGTTCTGCGAAGTTCGAAAGATGTTGTTTGTGTCAGCTTATCCTCAGAAGACTGCGCTCTTGTGCTCTGCAGGTGGTCCTTAGAGCATTTGACTTAGCTACAGTGTCGACCCAAGTCTCAGCTGCTTGACAGAGCGCTGGGAGAACGGTTGGAGTCGAACAGGTGGGCACGAAGCTTTGGGTCCGTCACTTGGTCGATGGCTTCCTTCAGAGGCTGAAGGCGGCCCAGGCTGCTCTTCTTCTTCTGTCAAGTTCTTGCCTCAAGTCTGTTCATCAAACGTCCGAGATACACGTAAGAAAACGTCCCCATAATAAGGGTGCCTTCCAATTCCATATCTGCGCCTTCGCAAAAGGCGTTCATGATCTAAGTCTTCTTCGAATTTGATCTTCGTATACTTCGTATTCTTAACAGACTCCAAAGCATTATTCGAAAAAGCAAAGCAAGGTACGAGATGGTATGCAAAAGTTCGCACCAGCTTTGACTTACCGTAAATTTGCACCCAGAATATGAGTCGTACTGAAGGCTCAAAAAATCGCGAAATCATATCTTCGTCCAAAACATTCTACGAATCTCCAAGTTACTCATATAAATTGCACACTACATCAGACACTTTTATCGTTTTTGCATTCCTTCCTCACCTATTAGGTCGTTTCATAAGTCCGTAGAGTTTTTATTTTTATCGCCGTTTTGAGATGAAGCGATTGGTTTATGGCAAAGTAACTACAGCACTAAAAGCATTCAAAACTCATTCAAAAATTGAAAACACGAAAATTTTCATGCTTATATAAAAGGGAAGCTGTGCTGATTCCACCCCTGTAATTGTATACTACAAGCCCATAGAACTATAATCGTGAATTTTCACCTATTCACAAGCCTTGGTTTCGAAAAACATTGATTTTGGCATGGAATTCTAAAGAGGAAAATTGAATTTGGTGACTTTCGAGAACTAGAGCTTATGGAAAACTCAAAATTCAAAATTATACTTTTGAGGGCTTGTACTATAGAATTACGTGAGTGGAAAAGGGTAGCTTCGTTTTTGCATATGCATCAAAAAATTTTTTTTCAATTTCTAAATGAGGAAAAAGTACAGGAAAGCTACATATGAGTGTCTGATGTGGTGTCCAATTGTAAACAAGTTGGACAAGTTTTTCTTGAACGAAGATATGAATTTTGCTTTATTTTTTGAGCTTTCAATACCACTCAAATTTTGGATGCAAACTTACGGTGGGTCGATGCTGGTGCGAACTTTTGCATAA